CGTCTCTATCTAAATTCTCTCTTAGATTAGGTAGAATTCTAGGTAGCTTATCTCTATATAATAAAACTTACTTTTATTAGAAGCTATTAGAAGTCTATACTTCTTAAACTTCTATAGCGTTTTTTATATATAGTTCTTATATTCTTTTAGTTCTTTCTTTAAGTATATAAGTATATTATTTAGATAGACTATAGTAAACCTTTTTATATATTTATATAGAGCTATATTAATTATACTTTAGAACGTTACTAGTACGTTAGTAAGTCTAAATAGTATAACTAGGTATTTATATAGACCTTCTCTTATTCTAAAGGTAGTTTTCTATTTATAACCTTTCTTAATCTATATTTAATAGTATTCTTTTTAGATATTAAACTTTATAAACTACTATACTTCTATAAGCTAGTTTATAAGTTCTAAGATTATAGGTAGTAGGTAGTAATTCTTCTAGGTTACCTAGTTAAGTTATTAGTAGTTAATATATAGCCTTAACTATTCGTTCTTCTTTAGTATAAATAGTACTAGTAAGGCTATTAGGCTTTAGCTTTTTTAGATATATTCTTTATATAAGAGTCTTTTTAGATACCTTTAAAGTTTCTCTTTTTACTTATAGCTAAGTAGATATATTAGTTCTAGCTTTAGCGTAGCTTTATCTTCTATAGGTATCTTATAGTTCTATAGTTTATATTTAGATAGAACGCTATTATTCTATCTATTAAATAATAACGTAAACTTCTTATAGTTCTTCTTAACTTTCTAAGGTAGTTACTCTATATTAGATTATAGCTTTTGTATCTATATAACGCTAACGTCTTAAGGTTATTTCTTTACGTATTTTGTTAAACCTATAGAAGATATTCTTCTAATCTTTACCTCTAGCTCTTAGTAAGTTCTTAGGTAGCGTTTTACTCTAGCCTTCTATACTACTTTAGACCTTTCTTAGAGTTATATCTTTATAGCTAATCTAGCTCTAGAAGTATATCTATATTTTCTAGTTCTATAATATTATAGAATTATTATTTTTATATTTTTTAGATATCTAGTATCTATACCTTAGTCTCTAAGTAAATCTATTCTTAGCTAAAGGTAGGTAGCTAGTTATCTATAAGTTATACTTAGTATAGCTATTATTTTTCTTAAAATAGTATATTCTATAGTTTTACTAGACTAGCTAAGATATATGTTCTTACTACTCTACTATCTATATAAGCTATAAGTTTTTTATCTTCTAATATAGCTTTTACGCGTAGTATTCTAAGTTTTAGAGTAATAATCTTATCTATAGTCTAAGTAGAGCCTTTCTAGAGTAGACCTCTATCTTAGAGCTCTTTTAGTTTTTTAATTTTAAGAGAGTAGCTAGTACTACCTCTTATTTCTTTTCTACTATATATACTAGATACTATTTAAGTAAGTATATAGTCTAATAGAGTTATATATATTTATCTTTAGCTCTCTAACTATAGTATAGATATTTCTATTCTAAGAAATACTATTTATAGTTAAGTGTATAGTAGTTAGAATAATTAGCTATCTATTCTATAGTTTAATACTATTCTCTATAGTACTAGTATCTAATAGCGTACTAATTCTAGAGTTTAGCGTAATATACTTTACTATAGACTTTCTTAACTAGTTCTAGTATTACTATTCTACTAGCTTCTTTTTTAGAGTATAGGTCTATATACGCAGCTACTTAGATTTTCTTATTATCTAGTCTCTAGATACTAGTAGCTATCTTAACTACTACTTTTTCTTCTCTACTATAGATTACTAAGAGATAGACCTAGTAGATATAGTTATATTCTAGGTAGTTACCTTTATATAGCTAATATAGTTTCTATTATAGACGTACTTTAATTTTCTAATTATATAGAAATAGTCTAGAGAGTTCTTTTTCTTAGAATAGTTTAGTTAGGTATACCTTATAGAAGAGGTTCTAGTACTTACCTCTTTCTACGTATCTTAGTTACTACTACTTAGCTTTTCTAGCTCTAGAATAGTTTATAGAGAAGCTCTAGTAAATCTTCTAGATATATAAGTATACTTCTTTATCTATAAGATATTCTACTAATCTAGCTACTTTTTTAAGAGTATTTAATATCTTCTAGAATTCTTTATTAGTAAATAGAATATTCTAGTACGCGTATTAATAGTTCTATACGTTATAGAATTCTATATATATCTAGTACTATTATATATTAATACGTTATTAGATAGTATCTAGAGTAAGATATTCTATATACGTAGAGTATTCTAGTATAATAGCCTAAACTCTAGTTAGATACTACTCTACGTTAGTCTTATTTCTCTAGTACGTTATATAGCTATTATTATAGTACGTAGTCTATAATAGACTATTATAGTTAGTCTAGATTATTTTAATTATTTTCTTTCTCTTTAGATATTTTTACGTAAAGTATTCTTTTTTACTATAGGTTAGGTATAGTTCTTTCTTAAAGTATTATACCTTTTCTTTATTTTCTAGAGTCTATTTTTCTTTCTATAGAGCCTTAACCTAGTCTAGATCTATAGAGTCTTCTTAGAATATAGTCTATAGTTGCCTAGTTCTAACTATTATTAGCGTAAGGTAGTTTCTACTCTATTATTATTCTAAGTTCTATTTATACTATTAGTTATTAATCTTTACTACTATCTCTATAGTATTACTTAGGTTCTCTAGTTATTTAGCGTACGTAATATTATTCTTAACTAACTCTTTTAATCTCTTATAGAAGAGTTCTACTAGCGTAAGATTATTCTAGTCTAGGTAGATACTTAGCTATCTAAACGTTACTACGTACTAAGATACTAATCTAGTCTATTATAGTTAGAATAGCTTTTTTTATACTATTTTATATACGTTAACTTCTCTAAATATTTCTCTAAGGTATTTTATAAATCTAGTCTAGCTCTTAAAAATCTTATTTATAAATTATTATATTCTTTTTATATTTCTCTTATTTTCTAACTAATCTAATATATAGAGTTTAGTCTATATAAGAGCTTTCTCTTCTATATTTATTATAGCTTCTAGAATCTTATCTTTATTCTATAGAAATACTATAGCGTTATATTATAGGTATAGTTCTATAGCTACTAGAAATATATTAAGATTTTCTCTTTTACTATTAAAGCGTTAAGGTAGAGTAATCTTAGTCTAGGCCTAGTGTTTTATTATAGCTAGCTTCTCTACCTACTAGATACTTATCTTCTAGAGTACTATAATAACTTATTAGAGCTCTATAATCTATTCTTCTATAGTTAGTTTTCTAGCCTAGATCTTCTCTAGTTAGGTTCTAGCTATTAATATAGTTATTCTACTCTTTAACGTTAGGTAGTTATTTTATTATAAGCTATTCTCTTAACTAAAACTAGAGCTTACTTTTATAAGAGAAGATAAGAGGTGTACTTTAGGCTAGAATCTTTAGTAATAAAAAAGTAGACGTAATAATACTATAAATTATAAGTTATAGTAGTAATTTAATAGATAAAGTAATAACTATAAGAAGCTATAAAAAGTAAGCTTCTTCTATTTATATATATATACTATCTTAGCTAGATTAGATACTAAGACCTAGCTCTTATAGATTTCTTAGATTAGAGTCTAATCTATAGATTAGGCCTAAATCTCTTTAATTTATCTAATTCTTATTATGTAACTCTAATTATTTCTATAACTTTACACGTAATTCTATATTTTATAACTTTAGGCTTAGTCTACTATTTTCTTTATTCTAGCTAGCTAACTCTATTATTAATTCTTTAATCGTAATATTAGTTAATAAGCTTTATATAGTTTAAGTATACTATACTTTATAAAATTATAAGTTTATATAGCTAGGTTAACTAATATATATATATAGTTAGAAGAGAAAACTCTAAAAAAGAAATTTCTCTAACTTCTATCTCTTATTATACTATACCTAGAAGAGCTAGCTTTATAAAAGTTTCTTAGAAATTTTTATTATATTATATATATTATATTCTATAAGTTTTATAGATTATTATAGAGATATAATAGTATTTACTAGAAGAAAACTAGAGTTTTTCTAAAAGGTTAGTTAAATATGTATAGCTTTTTAATTACGTAATATATTTTAGTATAACTCTACTATAAGGTGTAATATACTATAGAGAATATATATATAAATTTTTCTAGAAAAGTATTAAGGTTTTGCTTAGTTATTTAAGAAGAATAGGTTAATTTTTGTTAATTTTCTTGCTAAGAAATTTGTAGGCTATTCGTTTATATAGGCTATTCGCTTATAAAGTACGTTAACTTTATATTCTTATTCTAGTCTAGTAGTATATTATACAGGCTAATATTAACCTAGAATATAGCGCAAGAGTAGGCATGCTAAAGAGTCTACGTAATCTAGGTAGTCTATCGTAGAACGTTCTTAGCTAGAGATAGCTCTCTAGTAGCAAGAAGATTCTAGAGCTGCTTGCGGAGGGGATACTAGCGGCGTTCAAGGACGATCATGCCTTTGTGTATGTAAAGGAGCTTAACAATGTAAGGGTAAGAGCCTAGACAATCGAATATAGTGCGTTCGATGGCGAGTTCTCTTCGGCTTTAATTGGTACCGCAAGGAGCCTTGATAACGGCAAATTCGGAGACTCCGTAGACTATGCTAGAGACGCCACGAGAGAGGTAGGGGAGATCATATACGCTTCCCTTTATGGAATATTGCGACCCCATAGCAGGAAGTCGTAAGAGCGTAAAATTAAATTCAAACCAGTAAAGCGAAAGCACTTTGACGTATGCCTTTAATGATCCTCCGTGCCGGTTTTTCGGGTGCCTTTAGCTCTTTGCTTGCGTGGTTTCTGACCCGACTTTCGACCCCGCTTCTTTGGACCACGCGCACTAGCGAATATTTGTCCCAAAGTCGCCGCCATTCCACGCTGCCCCCATCAACGAAAAACATCAATCCGAAGCGACAACTGGGATGAATTCGACCATTCCCTTGACTCTCCCCGTCTTCACAAAAGCCCCAAAGCCATTAGGGGCAGGCGCCACCAGCCGGATATACCGACTGAGCGACAGTATTGTCGTGAAGCTACCACACAATCTTGAAGATGCTAAGGAGGCGCATGCCAATGAGCAGCAGGCTTTCGAGACGCTCGAGAACTATGGGCGGAGCCCATACCTGATCCCATGCATATGTCGGGTCCCTTTCGCCACGTTCCTGATGAGTGCCTCTAATACTCTTCTCGGTATAATCCAATCGACGAAATGTGGACCAGAGGACACCTATCGCTGGATGGGGCAGCTATGCGGTGGTGTTGCATTTATGGAGCGGTGCCGACTCTCGCATTGCGACCTCCGTCCCGAAAATCTCCTCACTGACAAAAATGGGAACTTGAGGATCAATGACCTTGGCTCTATGATCTCAACGGGCAAGCGCCTTCCAGTCGGAACCGAGCCATACGCACGACGCCTGAGCAAAGAAGATGGGAAAGGCCATGGAAGCTACGGTTGGGCCGGAGCTAGCACTGAGACTTTCGCCATCGGCTCGATCTTCTATAGTCTCACGCGCGGCTTCTACCCGTATGCAGATCAAAATCTCGATCGTCAGTCCCTCGAGAAGAAGCTGCAGAACAAAGAGTTTCCTCAACTGAGCGATTCGGAAAATGATATTATCATATGGAAATGCTGGAATGGGTTATACCAGTCTGTCGCAGAGCTTGAGCAGGTATTTAGGGACCTGGGCGATGGCACGGAGTGGTACTGGTTTGAGGGTGAAACTGAGGAGTGGCTGAAGGAGCGCAGAGCCGAATGCGAAAAATGGATCAGCGCTGGTGAGCTCGGTCCTTTGCTTAGACAGGCTGGCCATTTGTGATGCTAGCAACTGTGGATGCTTATTCCGTAGGGTTCTCAACTGGAAGGTTGATTCATTAAATGCTTCGTCAGCCGAAGATGAAGCCGTCTTAGCATCATTCTGCAAGCGCCTCATTGACTGGAAATACAAGTGTATGCATGTATGATGTATTTGAGACCTCGTATCAGATGGGTCCATTTGCGAGATGTGTCCCGTACGTCGGCGTGCATATGCGGGCGACCGAAAAGACGCACGTCAATCTGAAGCAGATGAAATCTATGGCAATGCTAAAGCCCTGACCCCACGACTATCCAACCTGAAGTAGGCATGGCTTCAGCTTCAGCTTTATCAGTGTTGTCTTCCTCGCCTTTATCTCCAGAACGTCCCATACTCTTCATTTCGTTTCCACGCCTCCTTTTCCTGTTGCACCACCCAACTCTCCATCCCGTACATCTGTACTAAACCGCTGAACCTTTTGATGATAACCCTTCTGCCTGCGGATTCTGGGATATAGCGTCTTTTTTACTAGTATTATGACGAGGTCGGGCGAAGTTATGATTGCGCCACGACGCTATAATAGTCCCCGCAATAGGATACATTGCAACGCCCAAGCCGAACGTAGCGGGGTGGTCCTTTGGACCTCGAATCCGAATGATGTGCTTCGACTTGGTATGAACCGGCTTTACGAAGTAACGACTTACTAATGAACACAAGGCGCAGAGGCGGCGATCTTTGGAATGCCGAACAGTTTCTAACTTAGGAACGCTATAAATCGGAAGTGTCTACCAGTATACCATATATTTGACACGTCTCCGTGTACCGCTTTTAAAGTTCGGAGTATAATTCCGGCTTGTATACAGGAAACAATTGCTGCTACCACCTTCGTTGACACTGTACAGTCATAGACCAAGAAACCCCTTTTTCCGCTCTAACTCAACCAACTACCAACGTCTTTATAGCTTGGCCTTGTACAACCCCGCAACCGTCTTCTCATACGCCTTCTTCAGTGCCCACACTGTGATTTCGAGCTCCTTATCTGACACAGTATACTGCGGCGATACCAACACATGATCTCCTACTATGCCATCAACGGTTCCGGAACCAAGGTACACCGCAACGCCCAAGTCGAACGCAGCGAGTTGAACATTGGCCCCAAACGCGGTGTCCTTGGGAAAGGGCGTCTTGGTCCTCGGATCCAGCATGAATTCCACAGATCGAAGGAGTCCGCGGCCTCGAATATCTGCCACATATTCTGCGCCGTCGAAAGCATCCTGCAACAACTTCGCCAACTGCTCGCCCTTCTCCGCGCACCGCTCTACCAGCTGCTCCCTCTTGATGATTTGCTGGACCTTGAGCACAGTGGCACAGCACATCGGATGAGACTGGAACGTATGGCCATGATTAAAACTCGCAGTTCCTCTACGAAAGACATCAAGCATCTTGTCATTGACCAGCATGGCGGAACTAGGAGCGTAGCCGCTGCTGAGTGCTTTGCCAATAGTCACGACGTCTGGCTTGATGCCTTCTTTCTCAAAGGCGAAGTAGGTCCCGGTACGACCCATACCGCACATGACTTCGTCGAGATGGAGAATGATACCGTGTTTATCGCATAGAGCGCGGACGGCGGGCCAGTAGCCTTTGGGTGCTGGCATGGCGCCTAATGCTGCTCCGCTGACGGTTTCGCCACTGGAACAGACGGTTAGCGTCGATATTTCTCGGAATGCCAGTCAACTTACGTGAAAGAGATGATATTCTCCGCGCCAATTCTCTCGAACAACTCTTCAATCTCCTTCACGAGCCTGGTCACAAATTCTGGCTCGGTCTCGTCCTCCCCTTTCAGATGGAACGCGTCTGCCGCACTCACAAACTCAACATTTGGCATCATAATGCCATCGTACGGCGCTTTTCTCGCCGGCATACCGGAGATAGACATCGCTCCGATTGTTCCACCATGGTACGCTTGACGCCTCGCAACATAAACCTTTCGCTGTGGTTCGCCCCTCTCAACCCAATACTGCTTCATAAACTTGAGAGCAGCGTCGTTGACTTCGCTTCCGCTGCCCACAAAATAGGCCTTCTTTAGCCCATGATCGAAGTTTGGAGACGAAGGGTGCGGTTCGAGAATGCATCGGGCGAGTTCCTCCGCGGCGTTCGTGGTGTAATTCATAGTGTGAACATAGCTCACTTTATGCATCTGCGCAACTGCAGCTTCTATGACTTCGGCATTGCCATAGTCAATGACGGCCACGGCGGCGCCACCGCAGGAATCGAGTATCTTGCGTCCATTGGCGAGGGTGAGGGAAGAGCCAGAAGCCGAGACCACGTGGTGTGGCAGCGAAGTGAGTGAGCGGTGCAAGACGGCTGTTTCACGCGTCGGAGCTGTATCCTTCTTTGCGTGCGACATTGTCTATGCTGCCAGGTGGTTATATATGCAAGTCGCCGTATCGGTCATCTAGTTGGTACTCACTGTCTGTTCGAACAAAGAAAGCCTGGGCAGCAGACAGCAGAGCCACGATAGCTGATCTATATAAGTTGACGTTTTGAGGGAGCGGACAGGGCGTGAAAGAACAAAAACCACAGCCACCTACATGCACGCATTGTTTCCCGCCTCCAAAGTGTGTTGGAATGTGGGTCCCGATTCATCGAGAAGAGCTGATGAGGCAGCTGGCACCTTGAAGCCTTAGGGGACTAGCTCCGAACTCTGTGACGCCCGATGCCCCTTTCTTATTTGCTGGCTGTCGCTCCCGCCACCGCAAAGGTTGGTTCCTGCAAGGAACCACCAGATTCAATCGCGCCCTCGTACCACAGTGGTTGCAGAAGTTTTCCCGTCACGTGAGACCCACATTGGCTGGCTGGCCAATCGCAAGCGGATTTGATCCCTCACGTGATGGAAAAACATCTGCAACCACCGTCTTCCGAAGCTCACCGCCGGCACATGCCGGTCACGTCCCGCCCAACGACGCCCTCCGGGAGTCCGCGCTATGATCGATCGTTGCATCCTGCCGTGCGAAGCGAGGCCCCTTCCGTCCGCCACCATCCTCGCACACCAACTTTGACGTCAAAGCCTCTGGCGTTCTTGCATGCATCGCTTTCACAGCGTCAATGCGAAACACAGTGACTGACCTTCTCGAGTTCCTTCCCTGGCTGACCATCAACTGCAGGATCTGTCACACCGCTTTATGCAGAGACAGATGTTCTCGCAAGCCCTTCCTCCGTACGCACAGCAACCATAGCCACACTCTACCACCAGAATTTGGATACAACTGAGACTCCACTGGACTCCGCACCTGAGAATCATACGGGCGACTTCAGCGGCCCCGTTCTACTTTCTTCCGTGCTCAATAACTTCGAAAGGAGCACTGATCCGACTCAAGGACGGTGGTACAGTCCCCATCCAAGCTCGGATTGCTAGCGCGGTGTAACGAGTCTCTTGTAAAAAACCAACAGCTGGGACGTGCCAGCCTCGAAAGCCACACCGCGCTAGCAATCCGAGCTTGGTTGGAGACTGTATCTGGGCAAACAACCCTGCGCAAGTGGCATGGAACGATCCCCCGTCGCGACACTCGGCGGCACCCGCGCTGCCTGAATATTGGGGCTGTACACACCACGGTTCCCTCGGCTCCGCCTAACCCATCAACACGCGACGATGTTGGGACTGTACAATTCAAAAACTCTTCGTACTCTGCTACCATTGTTTAGGCATAGCGCATGCAAGGATACTATATTGCCCTTGCCTGAAAAAAGTGTGCTCGCTGCGGAAAAAAGCGGTAACCGATTTTGCAAGCGACCGTGCTGCATAATACGATGTTATCATGCACCGGAGACGCGCTGTTGAGTCTATCGATTCTGTCCCACGCCGCGGATACGTACTAGCATCCTACTGGCCGCGGAGCCACGGATCGCACTTGGCATAGACGAATCTCGCTTCTTGTCTTGCAGATTGGCGTAGCAATCGCCCACCACACCTGCCGAAGAACCATCCTAGTCTTTGCTGAAATGGAAACTGGCGCGCGGGCGTATCGGCCGTGAAATCGGGTTGATCCTCGTTAAGCGTCTCACGGCCAGGGTTACATTGTTACATTGGTTGGATCCGGTTGATGTATGCGATTTGCTGGTGGCGCGACTTGAGTTGCTGAATCCCTGTGTAGACGCGACGAAATTCGTCGCGAGTCCGCTGGAGGCCATGTCCCAACTGCCGTGTTCGCAAATGCTGGTCCATTTTACAAAAATTGTGTGCGCTGAGGGAGGCAGGGAGCACTCTGAGCGAATCCTGCGCAACCTGATAGGTTTGGAGTTCTCATGATGGCGAAAGCAGCATCCGGATGGGGTGTTGGGCTGGATTTGGTGGGCTGAGCCTGCGAGGTTTAGATAATGCGAGCGAGGTGAGCAATGAAAGGTGGATTGCGAATGCATGGGCTTCGACGTTGGAATGTGATACTTGGGCGATAGCGGGCGGTACGTCATCCGGTGCGCCAGGCTCGAGTGTAGTCAGTCGACTGGCATAAATTCGTCCCCGTTAGCGATCTGCGACGGCAGCAAGTCGCATTTTGGTTCCATCCTGGTCCATTATTGTCGTGTCTTGCGATATTGTGCGTTTCACGTATAATTTGACGGGTTCTTATTCCGCCCTCCTCGCTGGACCGCTCCTTCACCGTTCATTGTCCGTGATCTGCCAGAAGGGGAACTCTGGTTCTGATATCTTGCTTGCGGCGTGTTTTCTGATTGCGGACATCCTTACAAGGAAGGAAGAGGGCCCTGAGAAATCGAGGGCAGAGAATGCGCGAGCGCTGAAGCTGCGGTCGCCAAGTAGGAGCGTCAGATGGCCAAACTGCGGGGATACTGGGTTTCCCCACCTGGCGCACGTCCCCACCTGACGCACGATTTTCGGATGCCTCCACCCACAACTTTTGAAGCTGCAGAGCTCTATATATATCGTAAAATCACTAGATTTTTTGGAGTAGCACTTGCAGAAGCTTGATAAATCGATTGGCAACGATAAACTACGTGCGATACCTCTGTGGGAGCCGTACCTTGCGGGTGCGCGTGGCCGCGCTCGGTGTGGGCACCACATCAACGATGGATGAAAAATCCACATCATCAACCTCAGTATTCTTAAATACATTGGCAGAAGGTGCAGGAGCCTTAAGGCGACGCCTATTACCCTTTTAGGACAATTGTATATCCTTTCTAAGTTGTTTTTTAACTTCGCGCGCGATTCTTGCTTCCTCACGTGCCGCCGCCTTCGTGCGCTGTTCTTAGAGGCGTATTTCCTTCGCCACCTGCTTTATGCGGCGCCTTTCTTTAAGCATAGTAGCTTTCTCTAGCTTCTTCTACTTCTTAAGCTTTATCTCCTTATTCTTTTAGGCTTGTTGTAGCTGCTCGTTAGCGTTCTTTTAGGCCTGCCGCTAGCAGGCATTCTAAACTTTAGATAGTAACTAGAATACTACTCTACTATTATACTTCTTTAGCGCTTTAAGTAGTAGAGCCTTGCCACGCTATTAGCGCTTCTTCTTATTAATAAGAGCCTTTTTAAGTTACTTATTTTTATACTAGAGAAGCGTTTTCTATACTACTATAATATACTTTATAAGTAAATAGTCTATATAAGTAAATACTCTAAAAATACTAAGCTTTTACTAAATACTACTATTTCTATTATAAAGCTTTCTATAAACATCTAATTAACTTTAGATAAATTCTAGATATAGCTTATACTCTAGACTATTTAATAGAATCTAGAGCTAAGCTTATAGTATATTATAGCTCTCTATAACGTAGAGTAGAAAAGACTCTATAGTTAACGTAATAGAGCTACTCTATAACGCGAAAAGATATCTAATTTAATAAAGCTTAACGTACTTTATAAATAAATACTCTATATAAATAAATACTCTAAAAATACTAAGCTTTTACTAAATACTACTATTTCTATTATAAAGCTCTTTATAAATATCTAATTAACTTTAGATAAATTCTAAATATAGCTTATACTCTAGACTATTTAATAGAATCTAGAGCTAAGCTTATAGCACGCTATAGCTCTCTATAATATAGAGTAAAAGAAAGTTTACTATTAATACTATAAAGTTACTCTATAACGTAAAAAGATACCTAATTTAATAAAGCTTATAAAAAATAAAGAGTAGGTAATAGTTAAGTATATACTTAACCTTAATACGTAAGAATTTACTCTCTAGATTACTACTATTTAAGATATAGCTAATAAGCTACTTACTAAGTAAAAGAAAAAGGTTATAGATAAGAACTAGCTAAATAACTTTATTATACGCTATTCTAAGCTTAAAATATAGCTTAATTATAAGTATAACTATTAGAGAGTAAAGTAAGAAGATTCTATAATTATTTAGACTTAGTTTAATCTAGTAGGTAATATAAAGGCGAAGTATAGTATTACTAATAAAGATACGTATAATTTTAATAAATCTAGCTTTATAATAGAAATAATATTACTTTAGGTAGTAGTTACTAGCTCTAAGAGATAATTATAACTAAAGAGTCTTTAACTAGATAATTATAAGTAGATTTTAGTAATTATAATAGTAAAAGTAGTAGATAATATATAGATTCTACTATTTCTTATTATTATAAGTAAGAACTACCTCTTAGTATAGTATAAAAGTAGCTAGCTACTACGTAACTAGATTATAGCTATCTCTAAGAGTAGCTAGATAATAAATAAGGTTAGTATTATATAGTTAAAGTACTTTAACGCGTATACTAAGAATTATATTATAGATATATATTATCTACTAATTTTAGATAGCTATAAAAGCTATAGCTTAGTTAAATTCTAGTAGTACTATAAAAAAAATAAAATTATAGCTTTTTATATACTAGTATATTTATTATATCTTCTATAGCTACTTAATATTAGCTACTTTTTACTATTAAAAATAGTATATAGCTACTAAGTTAAGATTCTAATATATAGCTATATTAACTACGTTATAAAAACTAAGTTTCTATTTATATTTTATGTAGCTTTTTATATATTAATTATAGATATTAATATTAGAGTAGAATTTAGAGATACTAGCTTAGTTCTATTTAACCTAGATTTTATAAGAGCTAAGTCTATAGTCTCTACTACTATAAGCGCCTCTAGAATACCTAGCTAGGTAAGTTAGCTATAGGTAGCACGGTCTCTATAAGCTATAAGAATAAGAGGTGCTAGTAGAATAGGTTAGGTTAAATTTAGCTATCTAAAGATAAGAAGTTAAAAGAAGGCTCTAAGAGGCTTTATATATAAAGGTGCTAAGCGCTAAAACGCTAGATTAGGTTATATAATAAGATTACGTAACCTAAGGTTATATAACCTAAGGTAAATTTCTAAACTAGACTATTATATTACCCCCTCTTATAGAGAGAGCTTGTCTCTAAGCTCTAAAATACGTCTTCTAGATCTCTCTTCTTCTAAAACTTCTGCGTTATACTCTTAACTGTCTTTTTTAGCTTATAGTAAGTATATTCGTGTTAGTTTTAAACTAGAAGCGCTTTTATAGCTACTACCTTCTCTCTAGAGAGAAAGAGACTTATTTTCGCGTTAGTAGAGCGGCTTTCTTACTAGCTCTCTTCTTAAATAATGCTATAAGCTTAGTAGAGTCTTAAATTACTTAGCGGCGTCTTTACGTTACTTTTACGTCTTCTACTCTTATAGGTTTTAAATTCTTTACTATCTTCTCTAGAGTCTTCTCTTTTTCGTACGCTTTAATCTAAGCATCTAATTATAATAGTAGCTCTAGCTTCTCTAGATATACTACGTAAAAGTCTTTTATCTTATAGAGAGTATTAATAAAGCCTATAGTATTATACTAGATAGAGTTAAAATTATAAGTAACCTATATAGCGCGGTATTAAAGGTAATTTTAATAAAGACGGCTATCTAGAATTTTATATACAGGCTATTCTAGATTACTATTAACTTTAATAAGTAGCTACTTAGACTCTACCTACTCTAGTAATAGCTCTAAGGCTTTTCTTAACTAATTAGTATAGAAGACGTTATGTATACGTATATACGCTAGTAGCTAGAGCTAGAAGAAGTAACTCTTTATAGTAATAATTAGGTAAGAGCTATATATCTATTAATTAAGCTTTATACTAGGCTAATTTATTAAAAAGCTATAAGGTTTAATATAGATAAGATTACCTATAGCAAAATTAGGTTCTTAGTATTTTTTATTTACTTAGAGCGCCTGCCTAGCTTACGCTTTCGCGATATTACCTTATGTAATTTTAGTAGCTTTTTTTATAGCGTTATATTACTTCTTAGTAAAATTCTAAGCTTTCTAGCACGAGAGACGCTTATGTAGAGTAGAGGCTTTTATTATACACTTCTTCTAATTCTAGTAGTATACTAGCTAATATCTAAATTTAATTTTATACGCTATTAGTTCTATAGTTTTATATAGTAACGTAGCTTATATCTAATCTATATAGAGTAGAAGGTCTAACTAATTATTCTAGTAGTAGTTAATAAATAGACGTAGATACTAATTAAGATCTTAATTAATAATCTCTATATTTCTATTAGTTTATGAGTAGTACGTAGTAGAGAGCTTCTATTTAATTTCTATAAGCTAGTAGAGCTTATCTATAAAGGTAGAGGTAAACTATAGGCTATAATTTAATATAATAGACCTAGAAGAACTATATATACGCTAGATATATTAGTAATATAGCTTTACTATATATTAAGCTATAATTTTCTTATAGTAGAGTAGAGAGAAGCTTTACTTACTTAGCTAATCTATAATAATGTATACGTAGTTAAATTCTTTTTTATTAGAGAGGAAGCTCTTAAAATTTATAGAGACGTTTTGCTATGCTCTCTTAGAGATAGGTAGAGGCTTTAGAAGACCTAGCGTCTTATTCTATAGAGTATAGCTCTAGTAGTAAGCTTTATATACTACTACGTACGTATTAACGTCTTCTTATATACCTAGCTAGTAATATTAATCTTATAGTAACTAGGTAGTTTTTCTTTATTCTAGGTAGGTAGTTATCTAAGTAGTATATATAGCGTGTATTAGGTGTATTTATAAGTAGTTAATAGTAGAGACTATTAATTAATTCTAATAGGTTAATAAGCTATCTTCTATTTTCTAGGCGGAGCTTAATATAGTAGCTTTTTCTTAAGCTAGCTATAGAGAGTTGTCTAATTAGTTAGCTATAATAATCTAATTAATTATAGTATATAGATTCTTAGTAGAGAGTACCTCTATAAACGTATTAGTAGTAGCGATTTTTACTGTACTACTAGCTAATCTCTAGATAGCTAGAACTAATAACTTACCTAATAATTGCTTAATAGCTAAGAGGCTAATTTGCTTCTTACTTAGGAAAGCTCTTGTATAGGCAGCGTAATTCTTTTTCTTTTAAGTCTTAAGCTCTTCTTATTTTTATAATAACGCATTCGCTACTATATTAGCTAAACCTAGTTAATAGGTAAGCTTAAGGTTATAGTTAGTAATATCGTTTGCCTAGTAGACCTGCCTAGTAGTAAGTTTCTACTTAGTAGTAAAATACTCTAAGG